TTAAACTCTTTTAAATTGCTATATTTAATGAAAAAAGACGCATTTCATAATCGAACAATTGTGAAGAAATTTAATTATTGCTTATTTTATTCAGATTATAAATATTAAAGAAAAAAAAAAAAAAGAAAAAACAATAATCATAATTTATCACCTATCATACAATTTCATCATTATCACTAAGGCAACTTTGCTAAGGTCAAGGAATAAATTTCAAACAAAGTTTTCCGTCTTCTTTTTTTTTTTTTTTTAGTTAATTATACTTATTAAGGCATTTTATAAACAAATTAAGTAATGAAAAAAAAAAAAAAAAGAAAAAATGGTACAGCATGATCGATTAAAATTACATAAATTGATACAAATAATACAGAATCGTTTATTTTCGATGTGTTCTAATCCTACGATTAAAATCAGCCAATTTGGGACATAAAATTTTTTCAAATGCCCGCCGAAATTCCAAATTTAATATACCATATAGAAATGGATTGAGCGATGAATTAATATAACCGAGCCATACAAATGCTTGCATGATCTGTAAAATGAGTTAAATTTATTGAACAATTTTCAAAAATTTTTTTATTTCTCAAATTATGAGATGAAAAATACCTTTCTTTTCTTTTTTTTTTTTTTACTAAAATACAATTTACAATATTTCAATGCGAAAACTACAAAATAATCAAATGAATAAGAAATAAAAAAAAAAAGAAAAGGATGTTGAAATTTGTTAATTAAAATAAAATCGAAATATTAAAAAAGCTCATAATGAAATTGGAACAATTTTTGCTAAATAAATTTCCTAAGTGAATTTAACCAAAATTCCATGCTATAACATGAAATATTTGTGAAATATATTATTACTGCTGTTTTGCATAAAAAAAGGAGAAAAAATTGAATTTTAATTATTCCATCATTAAATTTTCAGTTAATACGTAATGTGACACATGAGCTAATAACAAATTCTATTTTTTAAATTTAAATTAAAATTAGAAATAAGCTAACCTTGGGATGAATATAGCATGAATTACAAAATGGTAATATAACATATGCGCAAAAGAATGGAAGCCAACAAAATGAAAATACAAAAATGATGACAGCAACTGTTTTTGCTGCTCGTTTTTCTTTTGATACACTGATTTGTTCACGTTGCCTTACAGCAGTTACAGTTTGATCCTAAAAATGGAAAAATTAAATTTTCGAAAAGTTTTTTTTTGTGCTACTTTAAAAGTAACTAATACATGTATCATCGTTTGAAAAAAAAGACAAAAACAAAAACAAAAAAAATTCGGTACTGTTTTTAATTAATTAATGTATTTCCTATTTGACTAATCAGAAAAAATATTAAAATTATTATTATTATTAATTTATTATTATTATTATTATTATTATCATTATTATTATTATTACTATTATT